CAATTACAAAATTGGCCATCTTAATAACGATAAGAATTACGGTATATGCAGGGGTTTTTGTAATAAACAATAATATTTTTTTCATAATTCTAATATATTCCGAATGCGGTTTACTATATTAAATTTTAAAGCTATAAAATATTATTACAAGTTAATATATACTTTGTAGGATTTCATTTAAACTGTCATGCAACAGAAAAATGACATTACATAATGTAACAAGACAAATATTAATTAAAATGTTATGTTTTATTTGACTTGTAAATTAAACGATCAAACTTAACGAAATCCTTGGCGTATCGTCCAGTACTACATCCTTCCACAACATCAAATGTTTGTGTTTATATTTACTGTGCAATCCATGGTTATAGATTATTGAAAAACAATTGATACAGTATTGTAACACAATCTTGATTTATTCCAGTATTCGGAGATACGTACGAATTCCGTAAATTAATCTATAATTAGTAAATATCTGATATGTATATGCGTACTGTACGTAATAATTCAATTTTTTTTCTTTATATCTTTAATAAAGGTTTTATTATATTTTGAAAAACAAAATTTTCAACAAACTGTTTTTTATAATAGAACTTGAATAATAAAAATTATTCTCGATTTTAAATATCCGAATCAAACAATGTTCCGATAAACTGGATTTACTGGATTCCGCAATGTAGATGTAATTTGGTTTTAGCAATTTGGCTTTAGCCTTAAATTTGGATGATTCCATAATATTTCGAATGCATAATATTGTCATTTCGGGATTAATAAACGCAAGGTCATTGTTATTACTGCACATTATTTACGGGATAAGAAATCTTTCTTTATATGTATATTTTTGCATCCACCTTACATTGTATAACATTTTAATAAGTCATTGCGTAACCATTTTTCTGTATTTCAGATCTACTTGATTTCCGTCACAGTAATTTGATATCAGATAACTGAGTGATGAAAAACATTATTCTAGTTGAACTCTAGAATAGCAGAATTACTTGTCGTTTTTGAAGTTTTTTCTTTATTACATAGTAAGTCTGATTCTTATTGTTAATCTAATACGTACTCAAGTCGAGTTTACTAATTTCCCCCACCACTTCTGATTGGTTCTACTAATTATTCACATATTGTAGTATCTGTGCTGTTAATCAATTTTATAGTACTCCGATAGCGAAGAGGTGGAGAAAATTAGTAAACTCACTCAAGTCTTTATTACTAAAAATAGAATAAATTTGATAGACACTCGTAATTAGTATAATTAGTATATATTAATCTGCGCCTTAATAAACTTTATTTTTCAACATAGCTTCTTTTTAACGGTTTGACAGTATACTGTGACATCATATTACATTTAATATTACATTAAATTTTAGGTTACATATTGTATAACCGTTAATTAATATTCGGAATGTTTATTTTTGAGTTTCCCACCTTTATTGTCTCAACCTAAGCTTAATTATACAATACATATAACTTTATAACTTTCCTTTGCCAACTAACTTTTGATAGCTGATTATATTCACTACGATGGCGTATTACGGCTGACATATATCCGCAATTGTCACAATGAAAATAGTAATCCAATTTCGATACGGAAACTTCGTTACTTTTATTGGTGTGGGGTGATCGGAATTTACTTACTGTATTAATTATTAGAAAAATTTTATCGAAAAAACGCATACGAGAATGGCTAGTGTTTATTAATAATATTTGGCATAATTGCTTTAAAATATATATATTTCCTCGGGGAAATTTAAAATATGTACTTTTTTTACATTCTTATTAGTGGTTTACTGTAAAAATTACTAGAAGAAATATTTAGTATATATTATACTTATATATGTACGCGTTAAATATACAATATGAACATAATTGTAATATATGATTCCTTTATCTGTTATAATATATAAAGAGAATAATTCTGCTTTCGAAAAAAAAATACAAGAAAGCAAAAATTCAAAAAAAAAAATAAAATAAAAATAAAAAATAAAATAGATAAGGCAAATACTATTTATACGCTAGTGTATGTACACATTTCTTATTAATTATAAAACACTTTGGGGCTCTAACAAAAAATATCCCTTGCAAAATTTTAGCATAAACTACAACTTTTTACAATATTAAAACTAATTTTAAACCGAGTTTAATTTTTAGCCTTCAATTCTTTAATTTATATGTATTTGTAAATTAATCAATTAATACCCGTGTATATACACAGTGTATAAATAGTTTTTTCCTTTTTCAAAGACAAACATAAATAATAATTTTTAACGTTATTCGTTATTAGCATCTTTAAAAAATTAATCCTTTAGAGAATGGCATCCGATAAATGTTTAGTTTGTGGAGAACAACTACGTAGTCCTTCATGGTGTATAAGCTGTGAAGCTGAAGTTTTCAATCGACAGAAATGGTCAAGTGGTAGCACAAGGATTGACCGAATGATTAAATCTATCCATGCAAGAAATAATGGGATTTACCTTGAATGGATTCCGTTTGAAGATATTGACATGGTAGAATATAAAACAAGAGGCCCCTTCAGTATCGTCTATAGTGGACTATGGTTAGACGGTCCTAGACAATGGGACGAAACAAATGGTGATTGGCATAGAATGGGTCCGACAAAATGTGCATTAAAAAGAGTAGAAAATTTTGATCAGATGAGTCAAGAGGATTTAAATAATGTAAGTTTTTCCTATACGTCACAAAAAAAAAAAAAAAAACCAAATAACATTCAATATTATTTTTATTCTTTTGTATAGATTATAAGACATAGTCAATGCTTTCGAGGAAGTTTTGTTGTGGAATGCTTTGGAATTACACGTAATCCAGTTGATCCAGTTGGTTGCTATATGTTCGTAATGGAGCTTGGTGAAGAAAATTTATACCAATACATTGATAGAGTTAGAGAATATATTTGCTGGGGAGAGATTGTTGAAATTCTTCGTGAAATTGTTAAAGGTCTGGGACGAATTCATGAAAATGATGGACTTTATCATGGCAATCTTCACGGTGGAAATTTGTTAATTGAAAATACATCTGGAAGTGTCAGTATAAAAATTTCCGATATTGGATTACATGGACCAATTAATAGAACAGCTGCGGTAATCTACGAAGTTTTACCATATGTAGCCCCAGAAGTACTAAAGGGTAATGAATATACACAAGCCTCAGATATATATAGCTTTGGAATAATTATGTGGACATTATCTACATGTACGCATCCTTTTAGTCAATCCTCGCATTATCTTGATCTTGCTACAAGTATATGTGGTGAATTACATCCAGAAATTATTAATAATAATACTCCAGAAGCATATAAAAAATTAATGGAAAGATGTTGGGATCAAGACCCAAATAAACGACCGACTGTTAATGAATTAAGCGATATTTTTAATGATAATCCTATCACAAATTTGTTAAATAATAACGATATTGTTATGTCTGAAGATATAATATTCTTTAACCGAATCATTCAAATTAATTCATTTTATAATGGCCAATTATTTAATTTTCAATAACATTTAATATTTATATATTTCGTAAAAAATTGGCAAGATTAATTATGGTGATATCTGGCATAAACATCATTTTAAACGAGAAAATCCCCTTATCTCCCATTCCCCAATACCATACGAAAGAATGTATATTAATTGATAAAATTTTATTTCGATATTTTGACGGCAAAATCCTATGGCGAAATCTTGTGATAACAATATTCGATTTAATTCCTTATGTGGCAAAGTCTTATGACAAAATCCTATGGCGAAATCTTTGTGTAAAACTTATATGCAAGCTTTGATAAATAAAGACTATATTACTACTTTAAATAATAAACTAAGAAATAAAAAATCATTGGAATTTAAATGACAATGAAAATTCTTTACCTTCATTGTTTAATATTCTTAAAATTTTTGAACAGTTAAAATGTAAATTTGTATGACAATGACTTGAATTTTTATAGAAAGGTGGTTGAAACGGTGTGACTATCGTCACCTGATAATTTTTCACGATATCTCAGCCGATATCCGTATCACTAAACGTTTTTCCTTAT